TAAGAATTCTAAGCCTTAGCCGAACTACTTCTACTAAACTTTTGCTAGTCTGAAATGCAACAGTCTGATCTCGGAATCTAAGCAGGGTCGGGCCCGGTTAGTACTTGGATGGGAGATCGCCTGGGAATTTTGGGTGATGTAGGCTTCTTTTGCTGCCTGCTGGCCAGTGGTCCAGCGGCGTGTGGTTGTGCTTGGGCAGCCATGGCGAGGGGCAGGAGGGAAGGGTCAGGTGTGCCTTGTGTGCTTTTTGTGGCTTGTGTGTGTGTGTTGTGGGCTCAGGTCTGTCTCTCGATTCCCTTGTGGGCAGGGGAGGCCCTTTTGGGCTTGTTGAGCCCCTGTGGGGTTCTGAGCTTGTGCCCGGAGCCGGTCTGGTCTGAACTCAGAAGCTAAGCTGGGTCTGGCCCTGCTGCTGCTGGGGGCAGCCTGTGGCAACTCGGTTCCTTCATAGGCAAACATCACCAGCCCCCTGTTGCTGTCCCCAGCCCCCTGGTGCTGTCCCCAGCCCCTGGTGCTGTCCCCAGCCCCCTGTTGCTGTCCCCAGCCCCCTGGTGCTGTCCCCAGTCCCCTGGTGCTGTCCCCAGCCCCTGTTGCTGTCCCCAGCCCCCTGGTGCTGTCCCCAGCCCCCTGGTGCTGTCCCCAGCCCCTGTTGCTGTCCCCAGCCCCCTGGTGCTGTCCCCAGTCCCCTGGTGCTGTCCCCAGTCCCCTGGTGCTGTCCCCAGCCCCCTGTTGCTGTCCCCAGCCCCTGGTGCTGTCCCCAGCCCCTGGTGCTGTCCCCAGCCCTCTGTTGCTATCGTGTGGTGGTTTTGCATGGGAGGTGCTTATGGAAGAAATGCACAGAGAAGCTCTGAGCAGTTTCCTCCATGTCTGACACAAAACCCAATCAGTAATTAGCTCTGACAATCTGTTAAACTGCTGAGAAAGCTGATACGCCTCTGTGAACGTGCACGTAAAAAAGGAAAAATCCCCTTCCTGGGGAGCCCACCAGCTGCAGCGGGAGGAGAGGCCGCGGGGCTGAGCTCTGGCTGATTTATTAAAAAATATGGTTATTGATCTAGTATCGATATCCAACTGTGACGGACAAAAACTCTCTAACAGTTTAAAGTCAGAAAGTGTATGTTTATTCGACGTCGGGCAGCGTGCGGGATAGCTCCCAAATACACACCGCACCTTCCAGGTGATTACAGAGTCTTTTATCCATACAAGTATTGAATATACAAAATACAAATACATATTCATAATTTTAGTACATCCCATTCCCCGCTTCGTATGCTAATCACTCCAAAAGCTATTAAGCATGCGTAGTTTGTCCCTTGAAATGGGTCGGTGGTCCCTTTTATGGGGAGGGGTCCCAAAATGAGGAAGTAAATGAAGTCTTCCTCGTTCTGACCTTTCTACCTTTTCAATGCAAGTATGACAAATGAACTCTTGGTAGAACTCCCATTCCTTGTCTTCAATTGGTTTCAGAACAGAGGAGGCCCACAATTGTCTTATGTTCCTAAAAGCTATTAATCAGTTTCTATATTCTTCATTATAAACCCAGCTAACCAAACATTGTGCTGACAAGCAATTAATTATTAGTTAACTAATAACTCTTAACTTCATCAAGGCCTACTCATTTATTATTCTTATTTTAATTAACTCTAGTAAGGCTTATTTCTAACTAAAATCTTAGCTCCTCAAAATCTCTAAATGCCTTAAAGTTTACGTTTCAGTTATTACAAATATTCTTACAAAAGTCAATGTGTTCTGTGTTTTCATTGCTGTTCTTCTGTAAATAAACAACCCTGATTTTTCACACCCCAGTTCTCTTTCCATTTGCTTCAGGCACAGGCAGCATTGGCAAAGTTGTGTTTTCCGCTTGCTCCAGGTTCCCAGGGCGGGAGGTTCATGGGGGAGCTGGCACAGCCACCCCAGGAGTGGGGGTACCTGCACAGAGGGGTCCCACTGGCAGAGGTCACTGTCTCCTTGCAGTCTCTCTGGACACACTTGGTAGCTGCAGGGGCAAATCCCAGCGTGCCCGGTCCCGTGGGATCCCATGTTGGGACTCAATGTCCCAGCCATGGTGAGCACTGCTTGTGGCCCTGGGCTCAGCATGGCAGGCCTGGTGCTCACACCACTGCAGACTTCAAGCTGGCCATGCACAGCTCCGTGTTTCTCCCAAAAATATCACTGCTGCAGCACCTGGGGTTCCCCAGTGCTGGCCTTGTTATCCCTACTGCATGGAGGATCGCATGGCATGGCAAAGGATGGATCCCATGTGGCATCCAACCTGCCCTGATCCAGGCTGGGCACCAGCAGGGGAAGGTGCAGTGCAATGTCTGCACAACCCAACCAGCCATCCTACCCCAGCCGCTGCATGAGATGGAAAAGCAGGTGGGGAGTGACTCCAAACAGCGCTGTCTGATTTATCTTAGCCAAAACCAGCACTGGGGGTTGTTGGGAGAAAGGGAGAATTCACATGTTCAGTGACACATTGGAAAAGGACCTTGATCAGATTCACAGAGCAAGGAGAAATTCTGCATCCCTGATTTGCAGTATTTTCAGCTAAAAACACACCTGTCAGCCCAGGTAAAAGCAGATGTTCAATAGAGAGCTGGGTGGGATTAGGTAACAAGCAGATAGGAATAGGGAAGCAGCAGTATGTGACTTCTGTGTAGTTCTGAATGATGTTGTTCAAGACTGAGCTGCATAGTAATAAGAAATGGAAAAGCAATGATGGGAAAATTAATAGACGTACACAACAATGGAGATGAGATTGGATCTGAGGCAGGACTTGGTTCCAATCAAATCTGCCTGGGAAGAGGCCTGGCTTCAAATCGCATTGTTTGCTTTCCTTTGAAGAACAACAATATCCAAAATATGACAGATGAATATTCCTGGGGTAGAGGTTGGTAATTCAACTGCAAACCTCAGGAGAGGAAGGATTGCAGGAACCACAAGAGGAAGACAAATTGTAGTCTCATCAAACAACAGAAAAGTCCAGTGCCTGTGTATAAATATACAGCGCTTGTGTTGAATTCTTCCAGGAAAATGCAAGTCTGAAGTGAATCCCAGGTGTTTGACTTCATGAAAATTAGCAAGCCCTGATTCGATTTCCTTCCCAGTCGGTGAATATGAAATCCCTGGGCAGATGCCTCAGTTCCAGGTGTAGGTAGAGTTACTGTATCCAGGAACCTCTCCTCTGCATCTCCCATTTTTCTGAAAACAAGTCCACACAGTGGCCCCAGCGGCAGCACGTGTCACCCTCTGAGCTGCACTCGCTGAGATTTAGATTTCAGCCCCACTGAAGAACAACAAAGGCTCCTTTGTGCCCATACCCAGAGACAGAGCCCAGAATTGATGTTGGAAGGGATTTAAAGGGCAAACACAGGTGGCTCTAATCCCCCTTCTCACTTCACCTCGGCAATGTAGCTCTTCTTTTGGCCAAGTTCAGCAGCCCACTCATAGAATCCTAGCATGGTTTGGCTTAGGAAGGAACTCATGACCATCTCATTCCATGCCCCCTGCCTTCCACTATGCCAGGTTGCTCCAAGCCCTGTCCAATTGGTCTGGAACACCTCCAGGCATGGAGCTGCCACAGCTTCTCTGGTCAGTCTGTTCCAGGCTCTTTCCAATCTCACAGAAAAGAATTTCTTCCCACTCTCCTTCTAAACCTGTCCTTTGTCAGGCTGAACCCATTCCCCCTTGTTCTCTCCCTCCAGAGCCTTTTCCAAAGTCCCTCTCCAGGTCTCCTCAAGCACCTTCAGGCATTGGAAGGAGCTCAAAGGTCTCCCTGGAGTGGCTCCAGCAGCTCCACATCCTTCACCAATTCCAGAAACCAACCAGAGTTCAATAAAGAAGAGACAAGAACTAGGTGGTTCAATAATGGTTACCAACACACGGCAATGACACAGGAACCCTCAAGCCCTGTGGTTCTCTGAGACCAGCTCTGCATTCCTCCCACGCTGAGGGAGGGCATCAGCAGGAGGGATCAGCACTGCCAGGGCAAAAGGTGGCCTCTTTTGATGGCCCTTGAAACTGGACATGTGAAATGAGGTACACAAAGCCAAAGGCCAGGTGGACCTGTCATCTCTGAATGGCTCTTTACAGTCTTCCCAGGAACATGAATGACAGTCACTGTTTTGCCAGGGAAACAGCATCTGTTGGGAATGTGGTGCAGAAAATGTGCTTTCTGCTCCTCTCAGAGCCAAAATTCCTACCCATTCTTGTAAGTCCCTCTAAGAAAAGGACCCTGTTCAGCTGAGTGACAGTGAAGCAAAAAAGCAACCCAGGAATGCATTTTCCTGCTCACAATACCCTCCATTCACATGGGTGACTTCGCACTGGCACACAGGAGTAGGGAAGGAACCCAAACACATCATTGTACATAAAATCAGATGTGCTGAGGGATGAACACATCTCACAGGGATATGGAAACCTCCCCTGAAAACCCAGTTCAGGGAGAGCCTGAGCTCTTTTGTGGCTCTAGGCAGGAAGATGCTCAGGATCTCCCAGAGAGGCTCAGCAGGTAGTAGGATTGTGCCTGGATCTCGCTCTGGAAAGGCCAGTGGCTCAACTGAGAGCTGTGGGAATGATTTATAATGCACTGAGAGGGGCCACAGTCCTGCAAGGGTCTTTCATCAGGAGCAAAGAGCAGCCTGGAGGGTGGGGAATGCTGGAGCTGTACCACTGTGTGCTCATCCTTCACCTGAATGGGGAGCTGCCCCCAAAGTTGCTATGTATCACTTTTATGGTTCTCCTGTTGGGTATATTTTGGAGCAGCTGTTTTCTGTGGCTTTTTATGGTGGGAAGCAGCCATTTGCCTGCTGTGATATCCTCACAACTAATACTAACTCCTCATTCCCTTTGGGTTTTTTGGGGTTTTTTAATGTATTTTTTTGGTTTGTGTAGGTTTGGTTTTTTTTGGGTTTCTGTCTGTTTTTGTTTGACTTTTTTGTTTGCTTATTTATAAGTGAGAGGTGAACTTGGCATAGCCAAACACAAGAAAATGTACACCAGGCTTGACTTTCCAGAAATTGCTTTTGGCTGGCTTTAACTTCATCCTCCAGGCTCAGGATAACCAGTACATTTGCAGATTTTCCTCTGCAACATCAGCTTGCCCAGACTTTGTTCCGTGTTTCACAAATGGAGAAGAAAATGGATATTGTGCCAAGCTTCATTTCAACCTGCATCAGCATGATAGAAAAGAAGAAAAAAAAAAAAGAAAATATTCACCAGTTAGAGCAGAACCAGTGTCCCACCATCTTCCCCTCCACTGTTATTAATTTTGTACATTTAGAGGCAAACCTGGGCCTAAAGCTTCCATCGCTCAGTTCCTGATGCAGGACTGCAAGGGTCCCACAAGAAAGGCTGGGGCAGAGTGTTCAGAGTGTTCAACAGGGCCTGTGGCAACAGCACAAAGGGCGATGGCTTTCAGCTGCAGGAGGCTGATTGAGGTTGGATCTCAGGCAGCTGCTCTTTTCCACTGAGGCTGCTGAGGCACTGGCCCAGGCTGTGGATGCCCCATCCTTGGGAACAGGGCTCTGAGCACCATGGTCTGGGGGAACGTTGCTAAGCATGGAACCAAAGGCTCTCTAGCTCAACTGTCACGTCACAATCCATGTCCCACCTGGAACTGCCAGCAGCCAGCAAGCAGCACAACACAACTGTTGGCCCTGGGGTCAGCACACCCTGCACGCTGCTCCTGCCCGCTCCTGCCACCCTTCTTGTTCCTGCCCCCGGATACCCCCATCATCAGTTTTGATAGCTGCCAAAGGCCTGGATTGTGTCATCCATCCCTGCAGGATGATCACCTTTGTCCTGAGAAAGGTACGGTGCCATTCCATGGAGGTGGATCCCCCCAGCTGCCCGGGTGGGCTGGAGTTCTGGGGGGATGGGGTGGGACAGGGACCCCACTCTGAGGTTTTGCTACCTCTGCAGGCTGTCGCAGACAGAGAGGAAGAGATGGAGGTGGACACACAGATTGATATGGAGGTTTTTCTTCAAGGCATAAATGGGTTACAGGTTGTTTTTAATAGTTAGACTTTTCTATAAGGGTTAAATCAGTTAAAGTTTGAATGGTTTTTGTTTTTTAAAGATAAGTTCTAACATATAAGCATTGTGCCTGTGGCCTGAGTTCCCTCATAAAAGATCCTGAACATGAATACTGCAGTTTCCATGGACATTCGGCCCATGCTGTCTTCTGTTTTCCTGTTTGCAAAGGGCCCTTATAGATGGAAGACAGAGAACAAATTACAAATTTTATTAAACCAGGAAGGGTGAGATGTTACCAAATATCATAGATGAGCTTGCTACCAAGCCCCAGGATTGACTGACCGGGGCTTCTCCCACTCAGATCTCTTATGAAGCTGCAGGCAATTCACTGCCCCGAGGAGAGAAAGGCCAAGGGAATCGGGGATGCGCCTGAGGGTTTTGCTTGAGTTGTGAACTGATTTGGAAGAGAGCAGAAATATTTCAGTAGGCAATCTGTGTTTTCTTCCTTAATTTCTCAAAGAAAGTCACAATGTGTTGCACACAGGTAGGGGTATTGTCAAAGAAAGGCCTTATAAAATCAGGCCTTACTCTCCTAAAAATGAGCAGCTGGCCTGTTATGTCTTCTACGTACAGCTAGCTAAATTCCCATGTGAAAAATCATGACTGCAGTTAGCACAACAAGCTCTTGTGGTAAGAAAACTGCATCTGTAATAATCAGGAAATCTGTCCAATGGGAGTCCACAAAGGAAAATTGTAAACACCTGAGTAAAAGAGAGAGTCTTAGCAAGTCCACACAAAAACACCTTCTAAGCAGTGAATTGTGTGGACAAGAAAAGAACCAGGCAATTGGAATTAAACATGAGGTCTGTGGAAACGGTATAAAAATTAGTTTTGTGAATAAAAAATTGGCTTTCTATGCATGAAAAAACTGAGTCCCAGCTGCTGTATTGACACAGCCATGTGGCTTCACTCAGCAAGAGCACTTGAAGGGTGTATTGATGAAATGCTTGTGTTGATTCCCAGAACAGCAAGGAGAAATGTTAAGTGTATTCAATAGGGCTTAAGCTTGTGAATCCCTTTAGCTTTAACAGGCAGTGCTGAACCCTGTATTGCCCCACTGCAGTGCCTAATGTGTGCAAGTGCTATTTTAGCCTTGAGAATAAAGAGAGTGGTCCTGCTAAGAAGGTAGCTGGAATGCATTCAAAGGGAAGATATGTTTTTAAGAGGCTCTTGACCAGCAAAGGAGAATTTGAGGAATGGAATAGTTCCCAAATGACTGTGTCAGGAACCAGAGTCATGTCCAAGGCTCTGCCATATTTGATCCGTGTTTGAGCAGGTTGACAAGACAATGAAGAAAAGTGTATTGTTTAATGGGTGGGAACAGGACCCTTGAAAGAGAAACAATGTATGGGTCAATCGGTGGGCAGTTAAGGTTTGAAAGGGGAGCAATGCATAATGGAGCCTTGTTGGCATGGCCTTGGTATCTGGAGCCATCCTGGCCTCATCTCACATGCCAGCCATGTGTGAGCTGATGCTGTAACTGGGAAAATTCCACTCCTGAGCAGGAGGTATAAGGCCTGGCTCTGGGCTGGAGGGGTGAGAAGGATGACGTGCACACCGTTTTGATCCAGGGCATGTCCTGGAAGTGCACTGCCTACCTGCCCCTGTCGCCGAGCACCACACTCCATCTCCTTCTCCTGCTCAGCGGATTTTTGGGAATCCAGGGGTTGGTATTATTTGCTACTGCAACTAATGGAATACATTTGCTTGGCAAGCCCAGTTGTGTCTTAGATTCTTTTGTGCATGAGTCTCCTCCTGAACCTGTGGCAATGACCACCAGGGACCTACAGGATACTTCTACTCTGATGTCAATAAATTCTGAGAAATTATTTAAATATGTCAAATAATTTGGAGTAATGTTTAGCCTGTGAATTTCAGCAAAGTATTGAATATGTCTTAGTTCCATGGATACAAACTAATAAGTGAGATTGCTGGGTGTGCAGGTGTTAGGGGAGTGATTCCCTATGCACCGAGTACTGAAATAAACAAATGCCTCCTTTCCAATCCTGAGCTGGCAGCAGGGAACAGGCCCTGCTCTGTAACTTTCATTTTGGCAACTTCTGTGAACAGGTAAGAAAGGTCAAAATGAAACCTCTCCCAGCTATTTGCCTCTGCTTTATCTTTTTAGGTGCCAGAACTCTGTGTCACAGATGGCCTGGCTGTGTGCTGAGCAATGCAGCCCCCACAAAGCCTTTGGTTTCCCCACAAGTTGCCATGCCTTGTTCCCAGGTGTGCCCAGCTCTGGCAGGAGAAAGAGCCTGCAGCGCCGTGCCCTGCCCAGCCGGGGCTCTCTGGCACAGAGCAGCAGCAGCGCCAGCACCTCTCAATCCGCTCTTTCCTTATCTTCTCCTGGGACACAGAAGCCTCTGGAAATCAGCACCACCAGTCGTGTTCCCAGCTCGGAGCAGCTCCTGCTGGTGGGCAGGTGCTGCCAGTTTGACTGCTTCCAAAGGGGAATAAAGGCAGAGATGTACATCCTCAGGAGCCCTGGGCGTATCCAATAAACGTGCAGATATGTGGGAGATTTGTTAGGAATTGTTTCAGCTGTTATGCCAACAGTGCCTTCTCTCCTGGTTCTGTGTGCTATAGATGAGTAATGTAACAGTTGGCTCTCACTGTTAAGAGGTAGATATTATGTGGATATAAAAATGTATAGTGATGTTATTGTAATATAGGCTCCCATAGTCCTATTTCCCCTCCCCCTTGCAATAGCCTTGGTAGTCAGGGCTTTTGGGGAGGGCCGGCTTGTGACCAGGAGGTGTGGCGTAACAACACCTGACCTCCAGTCAAGAGGTAAGAAAGAAATCTCCACCAGTGGATGGCAAAACTTTGACAAAACTTTGGCGGGATGAAGGGTATAAAAGGCAGAGCAACCATTTGATAGATGAGCTGCTCTATGTAATGTTCATAGAGACTCCCAGTGCTGCAAGTTTTCCTTATTCAGTCCTTTGTTAAGATTTAATAAACCTTTAAATTTATAAAAGTGAGGGTTGTGTCTCAGATGTGCAATGCTTTGGGCCATTTTCTTGGTCTGGTTTCCTTAGCTTGGTTCCCATCTGAGTGCTCAGTTCGGGTACAGGCTGTAGGTGCTTGGTGCACTCCTGGAGTTACTCTTGGATCCCTTGAACAACAGGGTTTGGCCCACGAGGGGAATTTGTGCTGCTTTGTGACAGAGGAGAACTTCCCCAGCTATTTTGCGTTTGCTGTAGGGAAGGTTGGTTATTGCTCTGCCTAAATTCACAGGCCAATATAGAGTGCTTGCATTGTGATGTCAGGGCATGGTTGCCATGTGGTCATGGTGGCATCAGAAGGTTGTCTTGGTGCACGGAAGGCCTCAGTGTCAGAGCAGCTCTAGGGCTCGCTCAGGGCAGGAGCATCCTCCTGCTTGAGGCGTTTGTCAGTGGGAGCTGCCCACAGACAAGAGCCTTGATTTTTCTGATGGTGGAGCAAATCTGCACAGCAGTGCTACAATGATTGAGAAGGTTGTTGCTGTAGCTATTGGAGTTTACGGCGTTTGTTATTCCAGCTATTACCTCACTAACCTGACACGTAAGTAGAGGTTTTCCCTGGGTGTACCCGAACGTGGCTTTTGTATGTCTTCCTGCTCTTTCTTAGTGCCTGAGTTATTTTGAAACAGAAAGAGCACTAGCGTGCCACTGGTTTGGTAAAGCTCCTGTCAAGGAGTTCAGCTACAAGGGGATTTCTGTAGCCACAGGGCAGCATTTGCAAGGGAACCTGCAGGGGTTCTGTTCCATCCCCGGGAGAGTCTGAGGCAGCAGAGTCTGTCATTTCCTCAGTTTGCTGGGACAAGCAAGACAGCTTTGAAAATTTAAACTGGAGACCTTCTTGGAAGGCCTTCTAACAACTCTGCAGTATTTCCCAGAATTCAGGGAAAGCTTCTTTCTTTCTACATTTTGTCATGAAAGGATTTGACTGTCTAACTTGACCCTTGACTGAGTGTTAAAATAGTGATTCCCTTTGCAAGGAAGTGCAAACTCCAAAGCAGTGAGTGTCTGCTCCTGGACCCTGGAGCTGCTGCTGTGCTGTGTCACAATAGAGCTGCCACATCATAGTGGAATTTTGGGGCAGCTTTTCTGGGCAACTGTCTCCAGCAAGTTAATGAGAAGTTGTGCATGCAACTGATTAAAAAAAAAAAAAGGTACCGAAAGGAGAGGATTTTAAAAAGATGTGCTATGCGTTTGGTAGAAGAGGAGCATTGAGCGTTAGCAAAGAATTTGCATTTTCTTGATCGTGTTTGTATCCATTTAATGGCTAAACAGGCGAAAGGGTAGGCACGCCCAAGAATACTATCTGGATCTCTTGCTAGTTGTGTGAACGAAATGTGTCTCCTGGAGGGATGTTGTGAAACGGAAAATACTCTCTGTTTGCGGTGATTGTTCTGTGGGATTCACCAGCCCAGGCAATTTTCTCACAGCGTCTGGTTTGTTTTCCCTTGCCCACTACAGGTCACCTGATGCATGTAATCAGCGGTGCTGGTCCTAAGGTGAGTGAGAAAGGAACATTTCAGGTTTGTGCTGTTTAGCAATTGTAGAGTAAGCTGTGTGCTTAGCCAGAACCAGTAGGCTGTAGAGGGCCGGGCACGCAGGCTGGAAGAAAATCCATTTTCATGCCTTCAACAACAAATACAAAGGCATAGCTGGATATTTCCTAATTTCCAACTCAGAGCCTTGAAGACCTACAAACTCAGTTTTGCAGAGAGAACATTGCTTGATGACACCAGACAGGGATGAATACTTAAGAGAGAGCAACTTCCTGCAGAGTTGAATAAGCCCATTTTAATTGAAGTCACAGCAACTTAGATTTCTATCCCTATAAAACTTCATGATACTTCCTTAGAAGATGTGGTTGTAGAATTAGAAGGACAATTTAATGCTGTATTTGCAGTCAAACGGGCAACTTTGTGGCGGGGGAGCTGCGTGGGCCAAAAGGACCCAGGGGTGCCGGCCAAGAGCAGCTGAAGGTGGGCCAGCGCCTGGCCAGGTGGCCAAGAAGGCCAAGGGCACCCTGGCCCGTGTCAGCAGCAGTGGGGCAGCAGGAGCAGGGCAGTGACCGTCCCCCTGGGCTGGGCAGCGCTGCGGCCATAGCTGGGAGTGCTGTGTCCACTTTCTGCCCGATCGGTCTGCGTCTCACAGAACAGGATGGGACCCGGACTGGCTGCAGACTTAGGATTTATTATGTCTGTATCATACAAGCAAAAAGCAAGAGACACAGAGAAACGAACATCCATGCAAATCTAGATCAAAGACAAGATGGCAGTTTATGCAAAGCCTTTTTCTACATATTCTTTGAACCAATAGCATAAAAGAAAAGTGCAGAGTCATTATACTCTAACCAGTAAGAAAAGGACCCATGTGGGTTTAACATTAACAGAAGGACTTCTATGAACCTCAAACAATATACAATAATTCATTATATAAGATTGAAACTTCTTCTATTTTTGCAAAGCATATATCTAGGACTTTTGACATCTCAAACTATCACTAAGTTCTTGTTCTTTCTTGTTCCTTATGATAAATATAAATGTATTCACTTGGTTCTTCTTTTCCTAGCTTCCCAGGAGAAGGTTTTGAAATTTCCCAGCCTTTTTCAGCTTTGTGTCTACTTTCTGGGGCCTTTTTGCACTTTCTAAAGTTTTTTACCTTTTATATATTCCTACAATTCCCCCACTCTTTTTAAATAAACTATTTCTGACTCGTCACTTATTTATTACTTTGTGTTATATAGCTTCACTACTGCATATATTTATTCATTTAGGAAAAAATTTATAAACTTTTTATATGAAGGTACTTTGTTTTAAGCTCTATAATTTTAAGTTAAAGCATTATTAATGTTGGGTAAAGTAAGGTTTAGTATCTGTATTAGGTTCTGATAAATTTTGGCATTTTTAAGGTCTCAATTTCAAGGTTTAATTTGTGAGTGACTTTAATTAGTTTTGGTGAGGTTTTGTGCATTGTTTGTAATTTTTCTTTTGTATTTTTCTTTTGGACAATAAAAACCTTTTTGATGAGTTTGTAATTTGTTGTGAATAATGAAGTGTATAAGGAATTAATATTAATATTATAAAAACAAGATTTTACTTAACTTGTAAAGTTGTTTTGATTAAGGAGTTAAGCTCTACTTACTGAATCAATTGTTTAACTATGTTTCTTTATTTTTAATTGTAGATGTTAAGTTTTTGTATGTTTTTGTGAATGGATTTAGAATGATTAGACAAATTTATGTAACACATTCTTTTGAATTCTTTACAACTCTGTTTATGTGTTAGAAAAGGAAATTAATGGTTGTTTGATTTTGGAGTTTGTTGGACACTGCTGACGTCAGTTCGCATGTTACTGAGTGCACTGGATGTGGTATTAGTTTGTTTGTTTAGTTAATATTTAATCTTATCTATTTGTCTTAATGTTGTTTCTGAAGCAATTGTAGGTAAAAAGAAGCTTGTTGAAATATTTTGTGTTTTTTTTAACAGACTGAAATTACTATTGTAATCTTTTGGGTATATATTAATAGATCTTTTTTCTTGTCTTTTTTGAAACTGTTTTAGTACTGGGTGTTATTACAGTGAGTGTGCTAATGTTACATGGTTTGTCTTTAGGGTATGATGGAATGTTTTGCTATGTTTTATTTCTACAAATGAACTAATAACATTTTGGTAATTTCTGTGGATATTGGTTAACTTTAGATTTTTATCTACAGTGTATGAGTAATTGCACTAAAAACGTAAATTTTTATATTCATAGTAAGAGTGAATAACATTGTATTTTGGAGAATTATATTTTTGCTAATTGTTTCTTGAAAATGTGACACAGAAATTTATTGTTCAGGAGCTAAGGATCTTTAATTCTTGGGGTTCTGAACTTCTTTTGAGGAGTTGTTTGGTCTAGAGACTTTAATCCCTTGTGGGATTGTTTCTATTAGTAATTTCACTTGGTTTGTTATTAAGTCACTTTTTTGTTAAAGGATCGTGTTATATAGGTATTGGCTAATTTTTTAGTGGTACACTAACTAACCAGGTTGAAAAAGGCTTTTTTGGATTTGAGTGAGACATACATTTGGTATCTGATCTTGTAGCTTTGGTTAATGTGACTTAGACATTTGGTTTTGGTTGTTGTATAGGAAAATTTGCGTTATAAAAAGTAAGCAAAGTTAGAAAACATAAAGTGAACTGATTTTCTTTCATATCTTTTTTGTTGAGTTACTCTTTGTTAAAAGAATTTTCTATATATTTTAACTTTTAAACTGCATTTTTTGGAGAGTTTAGAATGTTAATTTTTTAGAATCTAATGATAATAATAAATCCTTCTTTTTTATGTTTTTGTTAAAAGAGCTCAACGGAACAAGCTCTTTACACATTTATCATTATCATTAAATTGAAGTTTGCAGATTCTACAGGTGACATAGGAACACTAGGCGTGACTTGTAGTCTCTGTTTAGCTTAGGTTTGTGTGTTTGCTCTTTGACTTTTGGGTTTGTTAGTGTGTTTTGGTGTGTTGTATGGTTTGACATTCTTTATTGGAATTCACTTTGCTTTTCTAGTACTTGTAGAAATACAAGTATATTCTTTGCTTTAAGTTATTAATTGGAAAGGAAAATTGTTTCAAGGCTTTTTATTAAAACAGGAGGATTTTTTTTTAGTTTTGTTTGTGTGTTATTTGTAAAATGCTTAAAAGTTGGTGGATCTGGTTCTGCAAAAGAACTGTTTAAAAAATTTTTAACACATAAAGCTTTACTTAATTTTATCTGTGGTATTACTTCTGCTCCCCTCTTCTGTTGATCTAAATGTGTTTTAATGTGTGATGTGTCTTTTTAACAGTTGTTTGATTTGTGGGGGAGTGGGGAATACTAAAGGTGTGATGAACATTTTAATTTATTAGGAATGTTGCTACTTTTTGAGATAGATATGTGGGGCTATTGTTTTTTTTCATTTCCTGGGGTACACGTAATGAAGTAAATGTTTGTAAAAAATGTTGATAGGTACGATTACTTGTTCTCTTGTGTGGATAGAGGTAAAATCTGTACTTGATAGTGAATCTACTGAAACCTGAATATTTTTAAATCTCTCAAAAGAAGGGTATTTAGATATGTTTGTTATAATTGTAGATTTTATAAACTTTGTGGATTAACAGTTGTTGTAGAAACAGGGGTTTGCACAAGCTGACAGTCAGGGTAACTCTAATGATAGCTTTAGCTTGGGATTTAGAGATACGAAACAAGTGTACAAGTGCTTGTGTATTTTGATGAAAAAAGGTATGACTCAATTTTGTGTACTCAAAAATGTTTAGTAATGTGTTTGAGATAACTATGGTCCGTTTATTTGTTCTTGTATTTCTTTTTGCTAAACATCTTGGTAAAGATGAATGAGCTTTAATATGAGAAATAAAATATAGGTTAGTTCTGTGTTGTAAAATTTTATGAAGACATGAAAGCTAGCAATATAAATTATTATTACTAATATTTTTTAAAACTATTTTTTTACTTACATTAGTAACATAGGTAGAATCTGTAATTAAATTGAAAGGCTTTGAAAATAGCTGAAAAGCTTTAACAACAGCAGCTAGTTTAACTACTTGAGGAGAACTTTCTACTATTGGAATATTCGATTTCTAATTTTTTGTTGTTTGATTTAACTATACAGTTACTGATTTATGTGTTTTTCTTGACTTATTAGTGAAGAGCGTTGTATTACTTAAAGGCCCTTCACTTAGCAAGGGCTTTTTTTGAAACTCAATTTTGTTTGTAATAATTTGTGACTTGGATAATGAATGGAACAAACACCTGAAAAACTTAACAATGCATTTTCTAAATCATCTGAATTTTGTAATGTCTAATCTAAATAATCTGTATTTAAAGGTAAATATAGAACTGTAAAGTCTTTGCCTGTTAAGGTTAATAGTCTTGCTTTGACCTTAATTACAATTTGTGCTATTATCTCTAGGGTTGTAGAAACTGTTTTTGGAGACTTGTAGGGAAGAAAAACTTATTCTGCTATTAATAATGGATCTTTCTCAGATGGATCTCATTGGAAAATGAGGCTATAAAGTTGTAGCTTCTGTCTCAAAGCAGTCAGGAAGAAAGGTTTCTTTGGAGCATAATGATGGGCTTGTCTTCTTTGGAAAGTTTTTGTGACTTGTTATGGTGAGTTGAGCTTCAGGTGTTAAAATCTTGGGAGATTTAATGTCAAAGTTTTCTCTCAGTAGATCAAAAAGCAGAGCAAGTTCATTGTTGGTAATTTTCAAAATAGGTTTCATCTTGTTAATTTCTGTTAAAAGTTGCTGCAAATCTTGCAAAGTGTTGATGTTGAAGTTGTATCTTTTGGGGTGAAATTGTTTGTTTTGTTATGTTCCATCTTAGAGATTTCTGGAGTGGGATTTCTTGTATCTTAGATGTAGAAATTCTAGTTCAGTCTTTTGGATCTCAGTGACAGCACTGTCACAAGTTTGTTTTATCTTTGTCCGTGTTGGTGCTGCAATGAGTAGATCATCTGTGTAGTATAGAATCATGGATTGTGGATGCTTCTGTCAAGTTGTACACAGTACTTGTGGGACAAAATATTGTTAAATTGTTAGAGAATTCTTCATCCCTTGTGGTAAAGATTTCGAGCGATATCTTTGCATTGGCTTTCTTTGATTGATGACCGGAACTGAGAAGGCAAATCTTGGGGCATCTTCATGATGAAGTGGTACGTTGAAGAAATAGTCTTTTATATCGATGATGACAAGAGGCCAGTTTCTAGGAATTATTGATAGAGAGGGACGTACAGCAGCTGTCTTCCTTTCAGGACTTGTAATAGTAATCATGGATTTACTTTGTAAACAAACAGTAGCTTTTCTGATCCTTGTGAGTGTTCTCATAGGTGATATTAAGTGTTAGTTATGGGCTAAAACAGGAGAGAAATTACAGAGACATCTGCACCGTACCTGGTATGCCTGTAACATAAATTGTTCTACCACGATGAGTTAGGCCACAAGTCAGTTCTGGTTGCTTTAGAACATACTTCTTAGTATGTTCTACTTAGAAGACATCTAGCATTGGAGTAGAAATCACATCTGGAACACCTTGGTACACCGTTTGATTGGTTAACAAAGCATTTTGTTGAGATACATTTTGTTTGATTATGTCTATAGGTAAAGCAATTGTAAAAGCAAGAGGTGCCTTAGGTTGAATTACTGTTGGGGCTTTAAGGGCAAGAGCTAAAACTATTAGGTAAAGGCTAAAGCAGGGATTTTTCTTGCACAGCAGAAGGCTGTGACCTAGGCAAGTGATCTAGGCAAGTCCTGCGTTCAAGTGGCCAAACCAAAGAGAATTTTTAGCTTCCTAAATTCCCCTTAGACTCCTGACTTCCAACCAGTCATCAGATCAAAAAATCTTCACAGAAATATACTCTGAGTTTTGTCTTTTTGGTTAGGGATTTTTTTTTTTAGGGGGGTGGGTTCTGGCCTTTTTTTTGTTTTTTCTTTTTGCTTGTTAATTTTTTATGGGGTTGTTTTGTTGGTTGGTTTTTTTTTTTGGTTTTTTTTTTTTGTGGGGTTTTTTTGGTTTTGTTTGTTTGGTTGTGGGGTTTTTTTTGGTGGAGTTGGTATATCTCCATCCTGAAGGAGCCCTTCTGCCCCACATGTCTTATTGATGTCATTTTTATGACATTTTTATGTTACCACTACTACATCTACAGTTTCTTTTCATGAGAATGCTATATTTTTGTCAATAAGAACTACTGTGAAAGAACATTAGGTTACAGGATAAATAGAGAGCAGGAGGTGTTTTCCGTGTGCCCCCAAAGAAAAGAAACAGATACTTTTATAACAATCTGTATTTCATATCCTAGTTTTATGCTTCTAAAGATGTGTCCAAGAGACACATTGAAGTGGAGTGATCAGATAAAACTGTACTGCAGGCATTTCTCAGGAGACAGCCTCCAGCCCATCCATGGTATATTCCTCAGATCCATGGCACTTTTTCGTACCTTCCCCACTCTTTCCAATGACTGTTAGAATCCTAACCATTGGCCCGAGCCCTGCTCAGCTCCGTCTCTAGGAAAACACAAGTCCTCTGGGATTCTGCAGCACAGCCCAATGAATCTGCTTCTTGCCCATAACAGCTGCCAGTGCTGAGCTCTCAGATAAGACCTGGTGGGGCTGAGAGCAGAGCCCAGTGGATTCTGTGTCTACCATCACCTGTTGGGACAAAAAGGGCATTGATCTGCACCTCGGTGTGTCTGATCTCAAAGCCCATCCTGTTGTGTCCTGAATGGGGGCAACAGTTTGTAAGGGGCTCAGGCTGCCTGTGGCTTCTTCCCATTGCTTGTCAGTGCTCATGCTTGGGCTTTGCCAGCCTGCTTGTGGTAGCTGCCCTGTCCCTGAGGGCTGGTGGGACTGCAGAGGCTGGAGCCTTCCTTAGCCCCAAGAGGGGTGTCTGTGAGCTCAGCCTGCTCATAAAGGGTGAGGGTCCCGATGCTGAAAGCCCCATCGGGGTTGGTTATAGCATGAGCTGCTCTGGTTTACAATTGGAAAGGCATTGTTTTGGCAATCTTTTGGCTGAAAGCTGGAGAAGTTGTGCTCCACTCCTGGGAATGCATCTCCCTGTGCTTTGTTTCCTGTCAAGAGAACTCTTCCAAGGACTCTACAAAAGCAGTCTCTGTGCCAGCCATCTGCACTGCAGGGCTGCCTGTCTTGTTGCTGTTGTTGTTGCTGTTGTTGCTAACCAGCTGACCGTCCCCAGACACTGGGGCTGCCTTTTGTATCTCCTGGAAGCTGGGATCTCTGCTTTGAAGTGAGCATCTTGCATTTTGTTTCCCTCAGGGAAAATGGTGAACACGGAAGATCCCAAGATGAAATACACTGAAATGGAATATATTGGCAAGGGGTGAGTCCAGCCACACGTGCATCTACACAACCATGGGCCAGATGTTCTTCTGGTATATCATTGGTATATCAGGTGTTCCACTGGAATATCTATCCAATGTGAAGTCAGGTCAGCTGCAAACATGTTCAGACACTGGAGACAGATTGTCCCATCTCTTCAGTGCTGCTCAGAACTTGTGAGTGTGCTCAGAAGGCATTGTCAGAGACATCTCCATGCTGCTGAGGTCTTGCCTACATCAAGGAACAGGACCTGGAAGAGCTCCTTGTCTCTCAAGTGTGGGACAGCTCTGTGTTAATTTCTTCAGTATTTTTGTATGTCTCAAAATCACACGGCTACACCAATGAACAAAGAAGAATCTTGCTTGCCTGAAAGGACAACCTAGCCCCTATCAAAGCTGTGAGATAACAGTTCCCAGGAACATTTCTTTCCCATGATTTGTGGAAGGAAATACTTCATGGTCAGGATAGGAACCACACAGTTTAGAAACTGAAACCCAAGATGAAAGAATCAATTCCCTTTAGGAGCTGAGGCAGTAAACCCCAACGCTTCTGCAACCGGCCCAGACACTGCCCATGCACTTGAGAGGAAAATACATCATCTGCCTTCTGGCAGAGCCCCCCTGCATCCTGCAGGTTTTAGGCATTTACAGCAGAGATCTCCTGTGTGGGCTGGCTTTCACTCTAAGAAATAAACAGCTTCTCCCTTCTCTGCTTCTGTTTTGTTTCTAGGCATTTTGGATCTGTGGTTAGAGCACTCAACAAAGCCACAGGAGGAGAGGTAAATGCCAACATCCCCTGCAGACTTTGCTGCACTCAAAGGCTTTCCCATCTGGTGTGAGCAGCTTTGGGTAGAGCTGTGCTGAAGAGGCAAAAGAAACACAGACTGGTACCAGCCTGCAAAATACATTGGGGACAGTCTTTGTCCTTCTCAGCTGCCAGAAGGAAGGCACGCAGGGCAGCAGTTCATTTCAGAGAAGGATGTGCTCACTCGCTCTCAATTGCTAAAACAAAGGTGGTGCCTTAGAGCATCTCACTGCTCTTTGGGGCTACAGCTTCAGAGTCCTGAATTCTCACTTCTGGTTGCCAGCAAATACATCTGAGAGTTACCGGTAGTTCCTCAGCCACCTGCAGTGCTGCACTTGGGAACTGCACATAGGGAGAGATCTGCAAGGCGTCCCTAGAAGCCCTAAGCCCTGCCCATAGCCCAGGATGTAGCCACAGAGTATTAAGGCATGGATTACTTCTTCTGAATCCCATACAAAGCAGCAGGGAGTGGGCTCAGAGGTTTGTGGGTGATAGTTGAGACACCACTGTTACCAAGTGGACACGGCAAAACCTCAGTGGCCCCGTGTCCTGTAACTGGCCTCCAAGGGCGCGGAGCAATGGGCTGTTGCAATGTCAGTTCCTAATTACTGCCATGCCTAATCACAAGGCAGTTTGGCACAGCTCAGCTGTGTCATTGCAAAATCACTCGCTCCATGTGCCTTGTGGTCTCGTGCCACCAACTTCTCAAGTTACTGATTTCCAGTGTCACTTTAGGTGGCCATAAAGAAAATAAGACTTAAGGGACGGCAGAGGAAGCAACTAACCGTTAATGAAATCACAATCATGAAGAAGCATAGGAGTCCCAGTGCTGTTAATTATTTAGACAGGTGAGTGGTCATGGTCTTATCCCGTGAATATGCACGTACATACTGCAAACATGAAAGGTTAAAAATCCACTTTGGTCACTTCTAGAAAGTAGAGCTGTTAATCAATATTTTGTTAATAGCAAAAAGCTGTGTGACGTCAGAGATGTCAGTGTGACATCACAGAGATGTCTCCGTGACATCACAGAGATGGCAGTGTAACATCACAGACTTGTCTGTGTGACATCACAGGAGGTTGTGTGACGTCACAGTGATGTCAGTGTGACATGAGAGAGATCTGTGAAACATCACAGGGGCTGTGTGACATTACAGATACTGTGTGACATCACAGAGAGCTGTGTGACGTCACAGAGGTCTCAGTGTGACATCACAGAGATGTCTGTGTGACATCACAAAGATGTCTGTGTGATGTCACAAAAAGCTGTGTGACATCACAGAGACATCTGTGTGACATTAGAGAGATGTCCGTGTGACATCACAGAGAGCTGTGTGACATCACATAGATGTGAATCAGACATCATAAATATGTCTCTGTGACATCACAATAAGCTGTGTGACCTCACAGGGCCAGTGTGACACCTCAGAGATAGTGGTGTGACATCTCAGAGATGTCTGTGTGACATCACAGGAGGTTTTGTGACATCACAGAGAGCTGTGTGACATCACAGAGATGTCCATGTGATGTCACAGAGAGCTGTGTGACATCACAAGAAGCTGTGTGACCTCACAGGGTCAGTGTGACATCACAGAGATGTCAGTGTGACATCACAGAGAGCTGTGTGACATCACAGAGATAACAGTGTGACATCACAGAGATGTCCGTGTGACATCACAGAGATGACTGTGTGACATCACAGATATAACAGTGTGACATCACAGAGATGTCTCTGTGACATCACAGAGATGTCCGTGTGACATCACAGAGAGCTGTGTTACATCACAGAGATGTCCGTGTGACATCACAGAGGGCTGTATGATCTTGCACCTTCTGGAAGATGGAGTATCGCCCACTCTGTATTGCCCGGAGCACATGCAATGTTTGAAGTGCCAGCTCTGACATGGCACTACTGACATCCTCTGTCAGGCATTCAAGGGCTGCAAGAGAGAGGAACAGAGCCACGGTCAGATCCCGACTCTGCGGGGAGCCGAGGGGAGCCCCCCCTGCCAGGGCCATCCCAGCCGGCTCTTGCCATGGCCGGGAGGGATCAGGGACCAAGGGGATCAGCCCGAAGCTGCTGGCCACGCATCCCCCACGTGTCCCTGAAATCTCTGTGTGCTCTACCTAGGAGAGCAGAGCTCTCCGCAGCTGGGGCAGGGCTTGCAGCTCGCCCCGGCAGCCCCCGCTGGCAGCCCGCTGCCCTGTCTCACCTTTGAGGATCAGCTGGAGCTTTTCCTGCTGTCCCCTCAAGCTCCTCCCGGCCGTCCCTGGGAACACAGAGCCTGTCAGGCCCAGCGGCACAGCTCCCTGCCAGCGGCGCTGCCAGCCCTGTGCCCACACGCCCTCCTGGCCCGGCTCGTGGCTCACCCATGAACCTGACGGCGCCTCTCGCAGGGGCTCCTGTGGGCTCTGCAGGTAGGGCAGGGCCCGGCGCAGGTGCTCGGCCACGCTGCTGCTGTCCTCTGCCAGCTGCAGAGAGCGGCAGGAGGGAAGGGTTGGCCCCGCAGCCCCGCCGGGCCGGGGCTCCATGGGCACCCGGCTCGGGCCGCAGGAGCCTGGAGCAGAGCCCGCGCGGCCTCGGGCTGCAGCAGCGGGCAGGGGCACAGCTGCCAGCCCGCACACCGAGCACCGCGCTCAGGGGGCTTCTCCAGGCTGGGGCTGCGGCTTCCCGGCCCTCCTTACCAGGCACTCGGTGAACTTCCACAGCTTCTGGTTCTTCACCAGCTTTTCAAGATCCCTCCTCTTCAGGAACTCGGCCGCACAAAGCAGCGTTTCCTGAGAAGCCTGGAGAGCAGCAGAGACCCAGAGATGGCCCCACAGCCCAGGGCGCAGGACCCGTCCCTGTGCCAGGGCCTGGAGGAGGCTGCAGCCTGCGAGGTGCCAGGGCAGGAGGCAGCCCAGCCCCTGCCAGGGGAACAGCAGCAGCTGCCGAGTCCTCACCTCTGCCACTCGCTGGTTCTCATCATGGCAGTGGAAGGAGAGTGGCAGCAGGCTCTGGCGCACGTGTGTCTTCAGAGCCTCTTTTTCTTTTTCCTGTGGAAAAGTCATCAATGTTCAGAAGAGGAGTATGGAGAGCAGCTGCACTTGGCTATTGTCCTGTATGAAGGGAAGAAAAAAAGACCTCAGCATTGGCTGCACGGAGCTCAGCTTGGTGCAGGCCTGCAAATCCACAGGGCACAAAGTGTCCGGGCAGCAGCCAGTGGCCGTGGCTGGGGGCAGTGAGCCTTACGTGGTCAAGGAGTGGCAGGAGCGCCTCAACCAGCTGCAGTGTGATGGGGCTGGCTATCAGCATGTCCTTGTCCAAGATGATAAAGTTGAGGAGCATGGATGTCATGATAACTATCTCTCCATCCGCATCCCACAGGAGCTCCACAAGACTTTCAGTCAGGCTCCACATTTTTTCTCTCTGTGAGGAACACAAGTTTGTGAAATGCCATCCTGCTGCTGCAGGGCCTAGAGGCCAAAGGGCTGTGCCAAAGCACTTGGGCAGCTGAAGCGGGAGGCAGGAGAGCTGGGAGCAGCTGGCCCAGCGCCCAAAGCCCAGCCAAGCCCAAGCGACTGCATTCCTGAGCGCAGCCTCTGCCCCTGCCCCCTTCTCACCATCGAGGGATCGTTGATGAGCTCCAGAAGGGCCCTGAGCGCCAGGTGACGCCTCTCCTTGCACTCGCTCCTCAGGTGCCGTGACAAGATTTGCAGGACTCTGTCAGCACCGCGTTCACTCAAGTCCAGGCACTCGAGGACCTGAAAGGCACAGGGCAGTGACAGGGGACCGGCCGGCAGGAGCCCAGAACCGCACAGGGCCGGGCCCAGGCAGCAGCACAGGGCGCGGGCTCCGTCCCAGGCACTGCGGCCAAGAGAGGGCAGAGAGCCGGGAGGCAGCTGAGTGAGGCAGCGCTGGCCTTCAGGCTCACCTCCACCAGGAATGCCAGGGAGGGCAGCTCCCAGCGTGGCTCCTGTGTGCTGAGCAGCCGGAGCAGGTAGCGAGCGATCCGGTAGCACAAGGGGATGGAGACACAGGACATCTCCCTGGCAGGAGACAAAGTAACCAAGACTGTGGGCCAGGGGGACAAACCTCTCCCAGGACTGACTCACAGAGGTCTGGCCTTTCTCCACCACCCTGCAAGGGGCAGCTGAGCCCTCTGGGAGGTTGCTGCTCTTGGGCACGCTCCTCTCCCAGCCTTTTGCAGCCTCCTTGGCCGTCCCTTGGTGACAAGGGCTTCTGGCCCACGGCCACGGGGACTGTGTGGGGCACCTGGGGCACAGGGCACACATGCCGGGGACAGCTGGGGAGCAGGGGGTCTCACCTGGCCAGCACGCCCACAGCACAGTGGTGGGTGTCAGCACAGAGCAGTGTGTCCCAGCCACGCTTGTCTTCCATGGCCACCACCACATCCTCATAGTGCAGTCAGCAGAGCAGGGCCTTCAGGGTCTGCACTGCAAACCTGTGTGCAGAGCAAAGCCCAGGTCACACTGGGAGCACTGGCCCCTGCCCAGGGATTTGGCAAGGACAGGAGGACTGGGATGGAGCACCTGTTGGGGCTGGTGGCAAGGCCGTGTTGCTGCTGACATCCCTCCCAGAAGGTATCGACCTCCTCTGGCATATCCAGAGTGCTGAAGAGCACTTGGAAGAGCAGATGGACAAACAGGCGGGGGAAATACACGGTCACCATCTGTGGGACACAGGGCAGCTGGAGGATCTTCCACATCACCACAGTTGCCTGCAAAGGACAAAGCCCCTCGAGACAGCGCTCAGTGCCGAGGTGTCCGTGTGGCAGGGCCCGAGCACGGGAGGGAGAGGCCCGGAGAGACGCAGGGGGAGCACCGGGCCTGGTGGCCCTGAAGCTGCCCCAAGGCCAGGTTTCAGCCCAGCACCTGAGGCAGGGAGACGCCGTGGGGGAGGGAGGATGGAGAGCTGCTGGAGGGGTGGCCTTGGGGCCAGCAAAGGCAGAAACTCACAGCCAGGGCAAGGACAGCCGTGTGGTCCCCATCGGAGGTGCACGTGCTGTGCTCTGGCCAGCTCCCCAGCACATCGAGGAGTACGAGCATGGCCGGCTCTGCAGTCCTGGGCGAGCACATGATGCTCTTCCACATGGCCAAAGCAGCTCTGTGGGGTCAGAGCTCTGTCTCAGAGGGGTCTGGGACACAGCAGCGTGGCCTGGGTGGCAGCGGGGAGCTGAGCTGCTCTGCCAGCCCTGCCTCTGCCCACTGCCCCTCACTGGCAGCACGCAGGCAGCCCAGCCCTGTGGGGACTGGCCCCTGAGGGGCAGGGGGGAAGCATGGCAGCACGCTGGGGCGCTGGCAGGGGCCAGGGCTGGCAAAGGGAGCAGCCAGAGGGCCCTGGAATTCTCTGTTTGTCAGACACCTGGGACAGGCTGTACAGGGTGAAGGGCTGCTGAGCCTTGTGGACACGTGGGCCCCGTACCTGTCACACACTGGGGCCACACGCAGGAGAGCCATCACCACCTCAGAGGGCTGTGCCTCTGTCAGATCCAGAAGGGGCCTGTACAGATTGTACTCAGGAAACTCATTGGCCACGAGGATGTACCTCACCATGGCAGGCAGCTGGAGAAGGCAGGGGAGACTTGGAAAGCTGCCAGAGGAAGGAATGTGCCCAGCTGCCCCAGAGAAGTGCTTCCCTTGCCACCACACTGCCATGGCCTCAAAGGCTTCCAGGGAGCAGCAGGCGTGGCTTCGGAGGCCAAGCAATTGCTGGGAGGAGAAAAGCCAGGCCACAGGCTGCTCACTTGCTTTGGGCTGGAAGGACCCTCCTCCACAAGCATATCCAGCAGGGCAGCACTGGCCTTGGTTTTGAAGATGGGAGAGTACGCTCTGACCACAGTGCCCACGACGCTGCTCTCTTCCTCCCGAATCCTCTTCATGAATTTGCAAACCATCTGTAGCAGAAGGGCAAGAAGCCCGGGATGTTGCATGGAGTGCTCTGAGCACAGTGCTGGGCTGAGCAGTGCCAGCAGGCCCAGCCCAGGTGGGGATGGCTGCAGGTACCTGCGCTGCTCTGCGGAAGCGGCCACGGGTGCGTTCCTGCTCTCGTGTGCGCTGCACGGCTGCACCTGGCAAAGAGCGAGCGCAGCCCGAGCTGAGGGGCTGCGGGAGAGGCCGGAGAACACAGCCCAGCCCTGCGCTGCCCAGGCAGGGACAGCCCCGCGCCGCCCCAGGGCATGGAGCACGGCTGTGGGGTGTCTGCCCGGCCCCTATTCCATCCTGTCCATGGGCATGGCCCCAGGGGATGGGATGGGATGGGATGGGATGGGATGGGATGGGATGGGATGGGATGGGATGGGATGGGATGGGATGGGATGGGATGGGATGGGATGGGATGGGATGGGATGGGATGGGATGGGATGGGATGGGATGGGATGGGATGGGATGGGATGGGATGGGATGGGGCCAAGCTGGCTGCAGGCACCAGCCCTGTGGCCCAGCTCTGCCACTCACCCCTCTGCGGTGGCTGGAACTGCTCCACCTCTTCAGGCTGCTGTGCTGGGGCAGCTCCAGGGCCTTCTTTCTCCTCCTTCCCCCAGGCCAGCTTGGGCACGCTCGAAGGTCTGTGCTCTACGTCACTGCCTGGATTCATGGCTACTTGCAGAAGGTGAAAAGGAAAAGGTCCGAGTCAGCAACTGCTGCAGTCGTGCCTTGAGGACACCTGCAAGAGTGAAGTCTGGGCAAGGCTACAGAACAGCAAATCCTGCACTCTGGTCTTGGGGGCTCCAGCCACAAGGACAGGAGACTCCTGTCAAGGACAGTGCAAAGCAAATGCCACAATCTGCCCTCGAGGGCAGCTGCAGAAGAGATGCCTCGGGAAGGCCAGGGGTCACCAAGTGCTCTGGTCTGGCCACGAGGTCACCTGCAGGAGTAATACCTCAGGAAAGCTCCGGGTCAGCAAGGAACGAGTGGCTGTGCGAGGGCTCCTCACAGCACCGCTCTCTCCGTCCTGTCTTGTCACGTGCACCGAGCACTGTGGAGTGGCCTTGTCACTGCCAACTCCTATGCCACAGCATGTCACAAAGGGCCCTTGGATACCTGTCCCGTTCCATTCCACGGTGACCATGCTGCACTGTGTCACAAAGGGCCCTTGGATACCCTGTCCCGTTCCATTCCATGGTGACCATGCTGCACCACGTGTCACAAAGGGCCCTTGGATACCCTGTCCCATTCCATTCCACGGTGACCATGCTGCACCGTGTCACAAAGGGCCCTTGCACACTCTGCCACCTGCCCTGGGGCCACCCCCAGCCCCCCAGAGTGGCCCAGGTTGGAAGGAATGCCTTGCCCCAGGTGTGTCAGACAGCCCAACAGGATCTTTAGGAACGGCTCAGACCATCAGCAAACGCTGCCCTGCTCTGCGGGCTCAGAGCAGCAGGAGCCCCCAGGGCTGCCGACGCAGCCGCGGCGGGAAGGGCACGGGGCCCTGCACAGAAGCTGGCACGGCCTCCTCGGGACACGTCCCACATGGTGGCCATCCTAAGCACGGCCGTGTGACACAGACCAGGAACGTGTGGGCCAGGGCAGGAATGCTGCTCTGACCCTGGGGCCCGGGGAGCGCTGCTAAACAGTTCTTGGAATATGTAAACTAGCTTGGGAAAAAAGTTTACTATGCATAAGGGACTATGAATATGCAACAGGCTGGTGTAAGGGAAAAGGTATTCAAGGGGTATCTCCGGAGATAACCGTGTGCTCTTGGCTCAGTGCCGAGATGCACCCGGCCCTAACAACCTTTGCTCTGTGGCCCTTGTCTCCTCTTGTCCTGCATTAAACTCTTTAAATTTTCACAGGGGAGTGAAGGTGTTTTTCACAGCCCCGAGCGGAGAGCTCTGCCCGGCGGCTCCCGGGAAAGGCGGCGGCGCTCGGCACGGCCCCGGCCCGCCCGGCCCGCGGGAATTCCCCGGCCCGGGACAAAATGCTGCCCCGAAGGAGCGCTCGGAACGCCCCTGCGGCTCCTCCCTGCCCTGTGCACCAATGGTGAGGGTTGTTTTCACTTCAGGACCAATAGAGTTAGTCTGTATGAAGCTCTGTATAAAGAGCAATGCATTTTGAAATAAATCAGAGTTTTACTCTCTCCTTCTGAAGTGGAATCATCTCATTCCTGTCCACCCTCAACAGTGTCAGCACACACACACCACCGGCCTCTTGGCCCCTGCCCACTCCCAAATCAACACTCCATGAGCAGTGTGACCACTGGCGTCCACAAACAGCTGAAATGGGTCTTCCCCACATCAGGGAGGCTCAACACAGGAGCTACCATAAGGATCTCTTTTAGCTCCTTGAAGCCCTCCTCATCCTGTTTTGTCAGGGATCTGAAGAGTCTCCAGCGTCACTGGACCCTTTGGTTCTGCCTGCATCTAGAAGTGCCACAGATGTGCCAAGTGGGGCCAGTGACCCATATTCCAAGGGCAGTGTAGGCAGGAGGGCATGAATGAAGAAGAGCCATCCCCACTTTCAAACCCTACCAAAGACACCATAAATGTCACTTTGTACCTTTAAGAGACAGCTGAGAACTCAGAAGGAAATGCTGAGCATATTCACAGGGTGAAAAAGAAGGGAATCTTCCAGGCAAGTTAAAGTTTCAGAAGCTTTATTTTCAATCCTAATCTATAATCCTTCTCTACAATCCTACTCTACAAAACTACTCTTCAGTCCTATTCTTAGCTGGTTATGGAAGAAATGGTCCTGATGTGATTATCACAGTGTTTGCTTCACCTTCCTCCTCTTCACTGAAATAATGAGTGCTGCCAGGGTAGACGCTGGCTTGGCTGATACCAGTGGATGCTGCTCACAGGAAAACTGTCGGAACTCAAAATGTCCCTCAGACATTTTTAGAGGTTCCAGGCCTTGGTCAGAAGCATTTTAGACCCTGGCAAGCAGCTGAAAACAGCTGTGATTTTGAGTTTGAACCATGGAATGAATTACCAACTTTAAAGGTGGAACAAGCAGTCACAGAGGGTTAGATGATACAGTAAAAGTAGTCACAAATTAGAGGGGAAATTTTTTTAGTGTTGTACAGGGGGGTTTTAACACCTGTACAGGGGGGTTTGACTTTGTACAGGGGGGTCAGGAGTTCTAAGATGGAGGAAAGTGGACCTGATCCTGTTCTTCCTCCTTCTTCTTCCTTACCTCCATGTTCTTGGTGATGTTGGCATTTTTCTATTGGTTTAGGCTGGGGACACACTGTTCAACGTAGATGATAGATATTGGCACGTTATTGTAAATATAGCACACGTAGTTTCTGGTATTTAATGTTTGTAACATCCCACTGGGGGCAGAGCCCCACACGCTGCCCTGCAGGACAGACCTGCGGCAGGGCAGCAGAACTTGTTATAGATAAGCAAAAGTAAACAACCTTGAAACCAGCACGGACGAACTATGGCTTCTTTGGCAATGGGGCAGAAAGACACAGACTTTCTACAATCTCGGAATCACCAATACCCACAGATTCCGACAGAAAACAAACAACAAAAACCAATAAAGTATGACTTTCTAAGCTCAGTGCTTCACAGATTCAATCAGGATTCCTCTGTTACTTAGAAAGACCCAGAAAGAGGAGTGATGGGACCGTAGGAGCGATGGGACCATCTGCTCCCCAGTCACAACGTGCAGGACCTTGCCATCACAGGCAAACCTGGCCCAGAATCCCACTCATCCTTTTATTCTGGTTTCTCCATCCTGCCGGGATCTTTGCCCTGCCAGTGCCCTAGAAAGTGTGCTTTCTGTCCCTGGGGTTCCTGCCTTTCAGGAAACTCCAATGACTCACATAGGTCCCTGTCTTTGAAAGACAGGCACCATGCTCATTCCCACAGGAGACAGAGCAGTGTCTCTCTTGGTACCTTCCTTCCCAGCAGGGCCAGCTGAGGGGTGCTGGGTCCTGCAGTTCTCTCTTTGCCACACAACCTGGCAGTCAGCCTGGGCCAGTTCCCCTCTGCCTGAGCGTGCCAGGCAGCAGACGGGGCTGGGGCAAGTCCCTCTCAGCTGTCCCTGTTTGTGTGCCAGAAACCTCTAAGGGTGGGGTGGGGGGCACAAACCAGGGCCCCTCAGAGGCTCACAGTGAGGCCCCACAGCCCCTCCTGCCCACAGCCAAATCTCTCCAGACTGCTTGTCGGAATCTGTGGGTATTGGTGATTCCGAGATTGTAGAAAGTCTCTGTCTTTCTGCCCCGTTGCCAAAGAAGAAGCCATAATTGGTCTGTGCTGGTTTCAAGGTTGTTTATTCTGTTTATCTCTAACATGTTCTGCTGCCCTGCCGCAGCTCTGTCCTGCAGGGCAGCGTGTGGGGCTCTGCCCTCAGTGGGATGGTACAAACATTATATACCAGAAATTACGTGTACTATATTTACAATAATGTGCCAATATCTATCATCTACGTTGAATAGTGTGTCCCCAGCCTGAACCAATAGAAAAATGCCAACATCACCAAGAACATGGAGGTAAGGAAGAAGAAGGAGGAAGAACAGGTTCAGGCCCACTTTCCTCCATCTTAGAACTCCTGACCCCCCTGTACAAAGTAAAACCCCCCTGTACAGGTGTTAAAACCCCCCTGTACAACACTAAAAAATTTTACCCTCTAATTTGTGACTACTTTTACTCTACCATCTAACCCTCTGTGACTGCTTGTTCCACCTTTAAAGTTGGTAATTCATTCCATGGTTCAAACTCAAGATCACAGCTGTTTTCAGCTGCTTGCCAGGGTCTAAAATGCTTCTGACCAAGGCCTGGAACCTCTAAAAATGTCTGAGGGACATTTTGAGTTCCAACAACTGCTCTGCCAGGACTGGCAGCCTTGGGCTCCTCTGCCACCATTGCATGGCTCTGTACTCTGCATTGCTCTACTTCAATTCTTTTGCTGTTAGGTAAAACAGAACACACCACCCAGTTCCAAAACAGGGCAACAGAGACAGTCAGAAAACGGAGCACCTGTCCTCTCAGGAAATGCAGAGAGAGGTGGAGTTCCTCAGTTTTGTGAGGAATGGGACCCAGGGAGACTTTATTGCTGCTTTCCAAGACTTCAGAGTGGCTTTGAAGAAAGTGGGGGACACCTTTTTTAACAGGGCCAGTTACAATAGAATGTGGGTGAATAGTTTAAAACACAAAGGGGATCTAATCAGAGTAGGTCTAAGGAAGACCTTGTTTACTCGGTGCATGGTGCCACCCTGGCACAGGTTGTCCCAGGAGCTTGTAGGTGCCCATCCCTGCAATCATTCCAGGTCAGGTGGGACAGGGGTCTGAGCAACCTGATCTCTTTAAAGATGTCCCTGCTCATTGCAGGACACTTGGACCAGAGGACTTTACAGAGCCCTGCCAGCCTGTCGGAACTCAAAATGTCCCTCAGACATTTTTAGAGGTTCCAGGCCTTGGTCAGAAGCATTTTAGACCCTGGCAAGCAACAGAAAACAGCTGTGATTTTGAGTTTGAACCATGGAATGAATTACCAACTTTAAAGGTGGAACAAGCAGTCACAGAGGGTTAGATGGTATAGTAAAAGTAGTCACAAATTAGAGGGTAAAATTTTTTAGTATTGTACAGGGGGGTTTTAACACCTGTACAGGGGGGTTTTACTTTGTATAGGGGGGTCAGGAGTTCTAAGATGGAGGAAAGTGGGCCTGATCCTGTTCTTCCTCCTTCTTCTTCCTTACCTCCATGTTCTTGGTGATGTTGGCATTTTTCTATTGGTTCAGGCTGGGGACACACTGTTCAATGTAGATGATAGATATTGGCACATTATTGTAAATATAGTACACGTAATTTCTGGTATATAATGTTTGTACCATCCCACTGAGGGCAGAGCCCCACACGCTGCCCTGCAGGACAGAGCTGCGGCAGGGCAGCAGAACATGTTATAGATAAGCAAAAATAAACAACCTTGAAACCAGCACAGACGAACTATGGCTTCTTCTTTGGCAACGGGGCAGAAAGACAGAGACTTTCTACAATCTCGGAATCACCAATACCCACAGATTCCGACAGAAAACAAACAACAAAAACCAATAAAGTATGACTTTCTAAGCTCAGTGCTTCACAGATTCAATCAGGATTCCTCTGTTACTTAGAAAGACCCAGAAAGAGGAGTGATGGGACCGTAGGAGCGATGGGACCATCTGCTCCCCAGTCACAATGTGCAGGACCTTGCCATCACAGGCAAACATGCCCAGAATCCCACTCATCCTTTTATTCTGGTTTCTCCATCCTGCCGGGATCTTTGCCCTGCCAGTGCCCTAGAAAGTGTGCTTTCTGTCCCTGGGGTTCCTGCCTTTCAGGAAACTCCAATGACTCACATAGGTCCCTGTCTTTGAAAGACAGGCACCATGCTCATTTCCACAGGAGACAGAGCAGTGTCTCTCTTGGTACCTTCCTTCCCAGCAGGGCCAGCCGAGGGGCGCTGGGTCCTGCAGTTCTCTCTTTGCCACACAACCTGGCAGTCAGCCTGGGCCAGTTCCCCTCTGCCTGAGCGTGCCAGGCAGCAGACGGGGCTGGGACAAGTCCTTCTCAGCTGTCCCTGTTTGTGTGCCAGACGCCTCTAAAGGTGGGGTGGGGGGCACAAACCAGGGCCCCTCAGAGGCTCACAGTGAGGCCCCACAGCCCCTCCTGCCCACAGCCAAATCTCTCCAGACTGCTCTGCCAGGACTGGCAGCCTTGGGTTCCTCTGCCACCATTTCATGGCTCTGTACTCTGCATTGCTCTACTTCAATTCTTTTGCTGTTAGGTAAAACAGAACACACCACCCAGTTCCAAAACAGGGCAACAGAGACAGTCAGAAAACAGAGCACCTGTCCTCTCAGGAAATGCAGAGAGAGGTGGAGTTACTCAGTTTTGTGAGGAATGGGACCCAGGGAGACTTTATTGCTGCTTTCCAAGATTTCAGAGTGGCTTTGAAGAAAGTGGGGGACACCTTTTTTAACAGGGCCAGTTACAATAGAATGTGGGTGAATAGTTTAAAACACAAAGGGGATCTAATCAGAGTAGGTCTAAGGAAGACCTTGTTTACTCGGTGCATGGTGCCACCCTGGCACAGGTTGTCCCAGGAGCTTGTAGGTGCCCCATCCCTGCAATCATTCCAGGTCAGGTGGGACAGGGTACTGAGCAACCTGATCTCTTTAAAGATGTCCCTGCTCATTGCAGGACACTTGGACCAGAGGACTTTACAGAGCCCTGCCAGCCCAGCCCAGCCCAGCACTGCTCAGCATTTTCATTTGAAGAGCACCAAGAGTGGAGGTGAGGAGGAAGGGGGCTCATCTGATGCCTCGGGCCTCACTGGAGGAGGAGCCCATCCCTCGCACACTCTTTCACCTGCAGCCCCTTTGCGTTTTACCTGCAGGAGCTCGTCGGCAGACCAGCGCCGCTCCTCGTCTCTCTGCAGGCAGCAGCTCAGGAAGTCACGCAGCCAAGCCGAGAGGAGCCTGGGCTGCCGCAGCTGAGGCGTCCCTGCTGTGGCTCTCAGGTGTTTAGTCTGGAGAAAAAGGGAACACGAGGCTCCACCTGCTTCTTTCCCATCTGTAACTGCTCTCCCAGAGCCCATTGTTTAACCTCCATTCTGCAGTGGCAGTTTCTGCCCTGGCAGAGACCCAGAGATGACTTTCCTTTACCAACAAAAAGCCCAAACTCTGATGCAGCCACAACTTTGCCAACATCCTGCCAATCTTGCCTTGGCAGCCGATTTCATTGACTGACCTAGTTAGTGGGAACTACATCAGCAAAAGCACATCTCCTTCTCTGAGGATTCACACCAGCTGGACAGCCTTTTTGGAAGGGGGACTTTGCTATGTTAACTAATTCCAAGGATTAGTACATGAAAGGCATCTCTGCAGTGCTTGTTGGTCCCTTAAGCACAGTTGCCATAGAACAAGACTCATCAAGTTTTTAGTCCTGTTCTTGAAAACAATGGTAATTGGAAGAAAAGAAAGGAAATCCATCAGTTAATCCCCAGGTAAGGAAACAAACATTTACAATCTCATATTCAACACAGACACATTAAGATGCATGCACAAATGTATTGGGATGAAAATGCCTGCTTGGGCACACAGGAGCCACCTGCAGCTCTGTCTCTCAGCAGTCTGAAAATTTCAGCTTCCCTTATGCAGCAAAAGAAAAATTTTTCCTGCTCAGAAAAAGGAGAAATGCCATCCCTATGGACACCCTATGTTCATTTGGCTTCTCAAGTCAATGCATGAATGGTAGGCCCATCCCAGAAAATGCCAGGAAACAACAGGAGGTTTTGGCAGGCTCTCCCCCTCACCAGGCTCCGGCTTGGTGATGTGGAGAACGTGGCTTGGGCTATGAGAGAAACACGGTCACTAAGTGTTTCAGCAACACTGCACAAGAAGCAGAAGAGACTCTGTGGCCTTTGCAGCCTCATGCTCAGGTTTCAGGCATGTTTCCCAGTGAGCAGAAACTGCACAGGGGGTTACGTTAAGCTTAAGGAATGCACAATTTCTTACAGGCAAACATTTTCCCAGCATTTTCCACTGCACTCTGTTTCCAGCAGACATCCCCACCCTGTTCCATGCCCCTGGCAGAGCCCTGCACCTACTATCCACGGGCACCAGGGAAGGGGGCAGTCACACAGGAGACAGCCCGCTGCGCTGGGCAGCAACCAAAGCCCTGCCAAGTCGCAGCTGCAGGCCTGTATCTGCACAGGGTGCTCTGGCTGCCCCACTCCTCGTGGAGTTTGGCTGGAAATGCAATTGCACGTTCTGCCTCAGGTAGCAGCACCATGGCTGTGCAAACAACAGCCAGGGGCCGTATTCCAAAGGCACTGCAGTGTGGAGGAAGGGATGCCCTAAAGATTGGGAAATGAAACAACACACTTTCCAGACAATATAAGTATAGGAGGTAAGATCAAATCTGGTCTTTAACTGGAGGCCTCCAGGGACAGATAGGGAAAAATATGGGACCACCCCACATAGGGCCAATGTGGTTTTATAAGTTTGGGAAACTAGCATAATTGACAGGAATTCCCAATTAGAAGCACAAGTAAAGGGGAAATCTCCCCCCTTTGGTTCCACCTCTTCTGGAGCCCCTCTTTCTTTGTGACTAGCTGCACTAGCTGTACTGGCTACAGTTAGTTTATGGAAAAGTGTAGTTCTCCATGTCTTGAGAACCTGTTTGAACTTCAGTTCCCAGAGGAGGCAGGATAGGATAGGAACCTTTGGAAGGTGTTTTGCCTTTCTGCCTATCAGGGGAGGAAAAATACTGAAGTTACCTAGGAACTAGATAATTATAAAATAGTCTACAGAGCCATGCATAACTATGAAGGAAATCTAAAAGCAAAAATCATTTTGGCATCAGAAGGAGACCCTTCCCCAATCCCTAACCATACCAAAACCACCACAAATGGGACTTTCCATCTTGTAAAAACAATTCTGAAAGTTAACGTAGAGCTTATTCACAGGGTGACAAGGAAGGGAACCTTCCAATGGAGTTGAGGTTTGATAGAGTTTTTATTCTGAGTCCCACTCACTGGAGAGAGCCATCCTGAAATGGTCATCACCACCTCCTGAACTCCCTCCATTGCTTCACTGCGATGATCAGAGATGCCCATCTGGAGAGAGGCTCGACTGGCTTCAAATACGGATACAGCCCAAAGGGAAAGCAACAACAACAACAAGAAGGGAACCATTACTTTGCAAACTCAGTGCCTCACAGGCTCAAGAGAGATTCCCTGGTTCCCAGAAATACACAGAAATAGGACTGACAGGACCTTCTGCACTTCTGCCTTCCTGTCCAGGACCTTGCTGTGGCAGGCCAGTATGGCCCATAGTCCCACTAATGTGTTCATCAAGGGATCTCCAGCAGCAGCAGTGGCGCAGCTCAGAAACCATCAGGCAGCAGCTCCCATTCCCTGTGCGTGCATGGGAGCAGGGCCAGCACTGCCAGGGCCAGGGCGGGCAGAGAGCACGGGCAGCGCTGATCCCAAGGAGCCACCGCTCTGACACTGCCAGCAGGACCCGCACTGAGACGAGGGCTCGGGAGGTGCCATGGGCACTGAGGTGGTTTTTGCAGTGCATGAGGCAGCTCAGGTGCCTGCCTGAGCCTTGAGTAGGCAGCAGGCAGCTCTGACAGCAGCACCATATGGCCAGAGAGCTGCTGTGTTTCAGACTCACAGCAAAGCCCACCCAGCAGGACAGCTTCCATGTCAGAGCTGCAGACCCGCTATCCTGTTACCTTGGTGGTATCCCAGGGCAAAATTTTGGACAGCTGTGACAGAGAATCTGTTCATCCAAGAGACTGATGACTCCACTCACAAGGAGCTCAGCACAAGCAGAGCTTGGGCAATCCCCGTGGGACCAGCTGAAGATGCCATTGCAGCTGAGGGGACAGGATCAGTGCCTGTAAAGGGACAATTCTAGTGAAGTACTAAGGCCTGAACAACAGACCCTCGGCCAAAGCTGACCTCCAGATGAACCTTCCAACCAAACGTTATATTTATAATCGCTCATAAACAAAATATGCATGATCATTACCAGTATGATGTATGTATCTGCTCATTAGTGAAGCAGGTGTTTACCTCTCCACACTTAGAAGCTAGACAAGGCCACAAAATCAGATCTCTCTATCTGGCTTTGTTTGAAGGTATAGGGTCAAAGCAAACTCCCTTGGTTCCTCCCTGAGCCCTGGCCAAGGGGAGGATGAAACCAGATGTTCCCGCACTAGAAGTTATGGTACCTTGTTTATTCATCAGTATAAAATCTGGGCCCTCTCACAGCAAAGTTGGCAGCCTCACCTGAGGGTGGGCGAACCACATAGGAATTCCCAGTTACTGGGAGTGCTTCTCCAATCCTTTGGTGTGACAGGGCATCCCCAGCTGATGTGTGTGTCAGGACAATGGTCAAGTATTAGGGTAACTGGTGATGTATCTTTCGTAGTAATAATCCGGTGCATTGCTTAGCTTATCCTTTTGTACTTCTTTGCTGCTTTGCCCTACAGTAAATGGCACTTCTTCCTTAAGTTGCTGTGGGTGTCTTTGTTGCTGACCCTGCCAGCAGGCCATTCCCTTCAGAACTGGACACGGTGGAGCCCTTCCAACACAGAACATTCTGTGATTCCGTGCTCACTTCTACAAAGTTTGCTCAGAATGAGTTTCAGCTAAAACACTTGAAATTATTTGCTGAACTTAGAGTTGATAGATAGTTCTTGTTGGTAAGTAATGGAGGGAGGGAACAGCTTTGTGTGTCCTTTTGGGGTGTGGCCCAATTTTCTGGCGTCCTCCCTCCATTTTGGGATATCATACCTCCTTTTTGGGTATCTCCACCCAGCTATTTTGGCTTCCACTCCTTCCACTTTGGGGTCCCCTTTAACTTTGTGCACCCCATCCCCATGTTCCACACATGCCAGCGTCCCCAGTGTGAACTGAATGGCCAGCAAGGGACTGGGGAAGGCTGGGACCCACAGTGATGTCCGTCATCCCTCCTGGTTACACACAGGACTCCTCGGCCCTTTCTGGGGTGCCCTGGATTGCCAAGGTCACGGTGAGGAAGTGTCTTTGCTGCCATCCTGTGCAGGATCATGCTTGGCCCATTATGGCCTCATGTCCCCTGTCTCTCATTGTCCTCTGACATTGCCTGTGTCCCTGCACCCCTCTCAAGAGCAGGACTTTGGCACCAACCCCAACGCTCCAAATCCACACGTTGGCTCTGTCCCTATGGAATCCCGACACGTACTTTATGGACAAGAATACCCCTTACTTAATCTAATAATTGATACCTGGCTAACAAGATAATGACCCCTCACTCTCACTTGTTTGCCCCCTCCTCCTTTTTTCTTTTAGATGCCAAGGAAACTAGATAATGCTTGAGCTATGCTAAAAGCTGTGCAGAAAGAAGTAGTTACATTGTACCCGGGGATGGGAATGAAGCACTTTCTAGAAATCAGCAAATTTAGCAGAACAAGCTAACTGCAAAAGGCTAATTAACCACTGGCTATTTGACCAGACAATCTTGTAGAGCATGTGCAGAAACAGAGGTTAAAAAATTGAAGCCCAAGGAAGCCTTCTGAGCCTTCATCCAAAATGACCAGCAGGAGGCTGACAACTGTCATCATTAAGCCCAGAGTGACACAAGCTCACCAGGAGACTGAATTGCAGAAGACAAAAGTTTAATACAAAAGCTCTGTCTTTTATAGACAGGTTTGACACATTCTACTTGATTGGCTAATTAACGAAAACATCTTTCTTACAAACAGTCCTTAAGAAGAACAGAAAATCAGAATAGAAAAACACCACCTGCCGGTTATTTATACTAACAAGTTATCATCATTTTTGCAACTCCCTAAAAGGTCTCACAAGCCGCTGTGAAAAACGAATGTCGTTTCTCCCTCTCTGGCCAGGCTGTCATCCCCAGATGAGCACCTCGTGCAGAAACTGCACATGTGCTACAAGGGCTCATATAATGATGTAATTAGAATATATGTTGCAATATGAAGTTTAGGAAAGTATAATGAAAAGCCAGGGAATCTCAGAAAATGGGAAGCTGGACAGGACAAACGCAGATCTTAACCAATGTGGTTAATCAAACGTTCTCCATTTATTCAAGATAAGATGGTAGTTTCTATAAACTTCTACACAGTTGACAGAAACAACGGCACTCTGATTGGCAAGCTAACGTTGTTTACCTTTTCCTTAAGGTGGTCTAAACCTTACACTATAAACCTATACTAATTAACACCCAGACAGCCCAGTGGTCCCCATCACACCTTAATACTTTTTCTAGCTGCGCCACAAGCTCTGAATTTCTAACTGCGCCAGAGGCGTGAAGGCCTCACAAGGCCCAAATCTGAGGCCTAGACTGGAGTAGCTCAAATCTCATAACTCACGTCCTCTTTCTCTCAAAAATGCTGCAACAGGAAGGAACTAATGACCAAGACATTCCATGCCCCCTGCCTTCCACTATGCCAGGTTGCTCCAAGCCCTGTCCAACTGGCCTGGAACACCTCCAGGGATGGAGCTGCCACAGCTTCTCTGGTCAGTCTGTTCCAGGGTCTTTCCAATCTCACAGAAAAGAATTTCTTCCCACTCTCCTTCTAAACCTGTCCTTTGTCAGGCTGAACCCATTCCCCCTTGTTCTCTCCCTCCAGAGCCTTTTCCAAAGTCCCTCTCCAGGTCTCCTCAAGCACCTTCAGGCATTGGAAGGAGCTCAAAGGTCTCCCTGGGGTGGCTCCAGCAGCTCCACATCCTTCACCAATTCCAGAAACCAACCAGAGTTCAATAAATAAGAGACAAGAACTAGGTGGTTCAATCATGGTTACCAACACACGGAAATGACACAGGAACCCTCAAGCCCTGTGGTTCTCTGAGACCAGCTCTGCATTCCTCCCACGCTGAGGGAGGGCATCAGCAGGAGGGATCAGCACTGCCAGGGCAAAAGGTGGCCTCTTTTCATGGCCCTTGAAACTGGACATGTGAAATGAGGTACACAAAGCCAAAGGCCAGGTGGACCTGTCATCTCTGAACGGCTCTTTACAGTCTTCCCAGGAACATGAATGACAGTCACTGTTTTGCCAGGGAAACAGCATCTGTTGGGAATGTGGTGCAGAAAATGTGCTTTCTGCTCCTCTCAGAGCCAAAATTCCTACCCATTCTTGTAAGTCCCTCTAAGAAAAGGACCCTGTTCAGCTGAGTGACAGTGAAGCAAAAAAGCAACCCAGGAATGCATTTTCCTGCTCACAATACCCTCCATTCACATGGGTGACTTCGCACTGGCACACAGGAGTAGGGAAGGAACCCAAACACATCATTGTACATAAAATCAGATGTGTTGAGGGATGAACACATCTCACAGGGATATGGAAACCTCCCCTGAAAACCCAGTCAGGGAGAGCCTGAGCTCTTCTGTGGCTCTAGGCAGGAAGATGCTCAGGATCTCCCAGAGAGGCTCAGCAGGCAGTAGGATTGTGCCTGGATCTCGCTCTGGAAAGGCCAGTGGCTCAACTGAGAGCTGTGGGAATGATTTATAATGCACTGAGAGGGGCCACAGTCCTGCAAGGGTCTTTCATCAGGAGCAAAGAGCAGCCTGGAGGGTGGGGAATGCTGGAGCTGTACCACTGTGTGCTCATCCTTCACCTGAATGGGGAGCTGCCCCCAAAGTTGCTATGTATCACTTTTATGGTTCTCCTGTTGGGTATATTTTGGAGCAGCTGTTTTCTGTGGTTTTTTATGGTGGGAAGCAGCCATTTGCCTGCTGTGATATCCTCACAACTAATACTAACTCCTCATTCCCTTTGGTTTTATTTGGGTTTTTTTAATCCATTGGTTTGATTGGTTTGTGTGGGTTTGTTTTTTGGGTTTTTGTCTGTTTTTGTTTGAGTTTTTTGTTTCCTTTTTTATAAGTGAGAGGTGAACTTGGCATAGCCAAACTCAAGAAAATGTACACCAGGCTTGACTTTCCAGAAATTGCTTTTGGCTGGCTTTAACTGCATCCTCCAGGCTCAGGATAACCAGTACATTTGCAGATTTTCCTCTGCAACATCAGCTTGCCCAGACTTTGTTCCGTGTTTCACAAATGGAGAAGAAAATGGATATTGTGCCAAGCTTCATTTCAACCTGCATCAGCATGAGAGAAAAAAAGAAAAACCAAGGAATATATTCACCAGTTAGAGCAGAACCAGTGTCCCACCATCTTCCCCTCCACTGTTATTAATTTTGTACATTTAGAGGCAAACCTGGGCCTAAAGCTTCCATCGCTCAGTTCCTGATGCAGGACTGCAAGGGTCCCACAAGAAAGGCTGGGACAGAGTGTTCAGAGTGTTCAACAGGGCCTGTGGCAACAGCACAAGGGGCGATGGCTTTCAGCTGCAGGAGGCTGATTGAGGTTGGATCTCAGGAAGCTGCTCTTTCCCACTGAGGCTGCTGAGGCACTGGCCCAGGCTGTGGATGCCCCATCCTTGGGAACAGGGCTCTGAGCACCATGGTCTGGGGGAACGTTGCTAAGCATGGAACCAAAGGCTCTCTAGCTCAACTGTCACGTCACAATCCATGTCCCACCTGGAACTGCCAGCACCCAGCAAGCAGCACAACACAACTGTTGGCCCTGGGGTCAGCACACCCTGCGCGCTGCTCCTGCCCGCTCCTGCCACCCTTCTTGTTCCTGCCCGCGGATACCCCCATCATCAGTTTCGATAGCTGCCGAAGGCCTGGATTGTGTCATCCATCCCTGCAGGATGTTCACATTTGTCCTGAGGAAGGTACGGTGCCATTCCATGGAGGGGGATCCCCCCAGCTGCCCGGGTGGGCTGGAGTTCTGGGGGGATGGGGTGGGACAGGGACCCCACTCTGAGGTTTTGCTACCTCTGCAGGCTGTCGCAGACGGAGTGGAAGAAATGGAGGTGGACACACAGACTGATATGGAGGAGGAGATGGATGTGGATGGAGTACAGACTGGAGAGGAAGAGATGGAGGTGGATGTGGAAGAGGGCACGGATGTGGAAATGGAAGAGTACGCTGAGGACATGGAAATTGATCAAGAAGATGAAGAGGAGGCCATGGTCCTGGGATGAAGACCGATGCCAGCAGCGACAGGTACGTGGTCCCCACAGGCAGAGTGGGTTCCCTGCAGCCAGGCTGGGGCTGGGCTGGGTGGTCCCTGCTCCGGCCACACAAGCCCCATCCCAGTGCCTGGGGCCCAGCCCCCAGACCCAGCCAGCCTCAGCTCTGGCAGCAGGGTCCCACTGTGCCAGCCTGGGGACACACGGAAGAGCCCTCTGTGCCTGACTGGAGTGACCATGGCACCTGCTTTTCTTCCAGGACTGATGGAGATCCCGCACAGAGATGGCACCCTTTTGTACATAGTTTTAGAGTTTGTTGTTCCCTTTAGGATATAGGTTTTAGGGCTTCGTTTTGTCTTCTGTAAATACGTTTCAAATATTGTTGTTAGATATGTTCTTAGGTATATACGTTCAATAAATTGTTGTTATTACAAATATTCTTACAAAAGTCAATGTGTTCTGTGTTTTCATTGCTGTTCTTCTGTAAATAAACAACCCTGATTTTTCACACCCCAGTTCTCTTTCCATTTGCTTCAGGCACAGGCAGTATTGGCAAAGTTGTGTTTTCCGCTTGCTCCAGGTTCCCAGGGCGGGAGGTTCATGGGGGAGCTGGCACAGCCACCCCAGGAGTGGGGGTACCTGCACAGAGGGGTCCCACTGACAGAGGTCACTGTCTCCTTGCAGTCTCTCTGGACACACTTGGTAGCTGCAGGGGCAAATCCCAGCGTGCCCGGTCCCGTGGGATCCCATGTTGGGACTCAATGTCCCAGCCAGGGTGAGCACTGCTTGTGGCCCTGGGCTCAGCATGGCAGGCCTGGTGCTCACACCACTGCAGACTTCAAGCTGGCCATGCACAGCTCCGTGTTTCTCCCAAAAATATCACTGCTGCAGCACCTGGGGTTCCCCAGTGCTGGCCTTGTTATCCCTACTGCATGGAGGATCGCATGGCATGGCAAAGGATGGATCCCATGTGGCATCCAACCTGCCCTGATCCAGGCTGGGCACCAGCAGGGGAAGGTGCAGTGCAATGTCTGCACAACCCAACCAGCCATCCTACCCCAGCCGCTGCATGAGATGGAAAAGCAGGTGGGGAGTGACTCCAAACAGCGCTGTCTGATTTATCTTAGCCAAAACCAGCACTGGGGGTTGTTGGGAGAAAGGGAGAATTCACATGTTCAGTGACACATTGGAAGGACCCTGATCAGATTCACAGAGCAAGGAGAAATTCTGCATCAGAATTTCTGACTGTGCTACAACTGAATTCTCACTGCATCAAAGGCTTTGAGGCCCCATCAAGGCCGCTTATCAGGGCTTAGTCTGAGTGGGTAGCTCAAACCTCATTCCAAACATAAATCATGACCTCTCTCTCTCAGAAATTCTGTAACACCTGATTTGCAGTATTTTCTGCTAAAACACACACCTGTCAGCCCAGGTAAAAGCAGATGTTCAATAGAGAGCTGGGTGGGATTAGGTAACAAGCAGATAGGAATAGGGAAGCAGCAGTATGTGACTTCTGTGTAGTTCTGAATGATGGTGTTCAAGACTGAGCTGCATAGTAATAAGAAATGGAAAAGCAATGATGGGAAAATTAATAGACGTACACAACAATGGAGATGAGATTGGATCTGAGGCAGGACTTGGTTCCAATCAAATCTGCCTGGGAAGAGGCCTGGCTTAAAATCGCATTGTTTGCTTTCCTTTGAAGAACAACAATAGCCAAAATATGACAGATGAATATTCCTGGGGTAGAGGTTGGTAATTCAACTGCAAACCTCAGGAGAGGAAGGATTGCAGGAACCACAAGAGGAAGACAAATTGTAGTCTCATCAAACAACAGAAAAGTCCAGTGCCTGTGTATAAATATACAGCGCTTGTGTTGAATTCTTCCAGGAAAATGCAAGTCTGAAGTGAATCCCAGGTGTTTGACTTCATGAAAATTAGCAAGCCCTGATTCGATTTCCTTCCCAGTCGGTGAATATGAAATCCCTGGGCAGATGCCTCAGTTCCAGGTGTAGGTAGAGTTACTGTATCCAGGAACCTCTCTCTCCTCTGCATCTCCCATTTTTCTGAAAACAAGTCCACACAGTGGCCCCAGCGGCAGCACGTGTCACCCTCTGAGCTGCACTCGCTGAGATTTAGATTTCAGCCCCACTGAAGAACAACAAAGGCTCCTTTGTGCCCATACCCAGAGACAGAGCCCAGAATTGATGTTGGAAGGGATTTAAAGGGCAAACACAGGTGGCTCTAATCCCCCTTCTCACTTCACCTCGGCAATGTAGCTCTTCTTTTGGCCAAGTTCAGCAGCCCACTCATAGAATCCTAGCATGGTTTGGCTTAGGAAGGAACTAATGACCATCTCATTCCATGCCCCCTGCCTTCCACTATGCCAGGTTGCTCCAAGCCCTGTCCAATTGGTCTGGAACACCTCCAGGGATGGAGCTGCCACAGCTTCTCTGGTCAGTCTGTTCCAGGCTCTTTCCAATCTCACAGAAAAGAATTTCTTCCCACTCTCCTTCTAAACCTGTCCTTTGTCAGGCTGAACCCATTCCCCCTTGTTCTCTCCCTCCAGAGCCTTTTCCAAAGTCCCTCTCCAGGTCTCCTCAAGCACCTTCAGGCATTGGAAGGAGCTCAAAGGTCTCCCTGGAGTGGCTCCAGCAGCTCCACATCCTTCACCAATTCCAGAAACCAACCAGAGTTCAATAAATAAGAGACAAGAACTAGGTGGTTCAATCATGGTTACCAACACACGGAAATGACACAGGAACCCTCAAGCCCTGTGGTTCTCTGAGACCAGCTCTGCATTCCTCCCACGCTGAGGGAGGGCATCAGCAGGAGGGATCAGCACTGCCAGGGCAAAAGGTGGCCTCTTTTCATGGCCCTTGAAACTGGACATGTGAAATGAGGTACACAAAGCCAAAGGCCAGGTGGACCTGTCATCTCTGAATGGCTCTTTACAGTCTTCCCAGGAACATGAATGACAGTCACTGTTTTGCCAGGGAAACAGCATCTGTTGGGAATGTGGTGCAGAAAATGTGCTTTCTGCTCCTCTCAGAGCCAAAATTCCTACCCATTCTTGTAAGTCCCTCTAAGATAAGGACCCTGTTCAGCTGAGTGACAGTGAAGCAAAAAAGCAACCCAGGAATGCATTTTCCTGCTCACAATACCCTCCATTCACATGGGTGACTTCGCACTGGCACACAGGAGTAGGGAAGGAACCCAAACACATCATTGTACATAAAATCAGATGTGTTGAGGGATGAACACATCTCACAGGGATATGGAAACCTCCCCTGAAAACCCAGTCAGGGAGAGCCTGAGCTCTTTTGTGGCTCTAGGCAGGAAGATGCTCAGGATCTCCCAGAGAGGCTCAGCAGGCAGTAGGATTGTGCCTGGATCTCGCTCTGGAAATGCCAGTGGCTCAACTGAGAGCTGTGGGAATGATTTATAATGCACTGAGAGGGGCCACAGACCTGCAAGGGTCTTTCATCAGGAGCAAAGAGCAGCCTGGAGGGTGGGGAATGCTGGAGCTGTACCACTGTGTGCTCATCCTTCACCTGAATGGGGAGCTGCCCCCAAAGTTGCTATGTATCACTTTTATGGTTCTCCTGTTGGGTATATTTTGGAGCAGCTGTTTTCTGTGGCTTTTTATGGTGGGAAGCAGCCATTTGCCTGCTGTGATATCCTCACAACTAATACTAACTCCTCATTCCCTTTGGTTTTATTTGGTTTTTTTAATCCATTGGTTTGATTGGTTTGTGTGGGTTTGTTTTTTGGGTTTTTGTCTGTTTTTGTTTGAGTTTTTTGTTTGCTTTTTTAGAAGTGAGAGGTGAACTTGGCATAGCCAAACTCAAGAAAATGTACACCAGGCTTGACTTTCCAGAAATTGCTTTTGGCTGGCTTTAACTGCATCCTCCAGGCTCAGGATAACCAGTACATTTGCAGGTTTTCCTCTGCATCATCAGCTTGCCCAGACTTTGTTCCGTGTTTCACAAATGGAGAAGAAAATGGATATTGTGCCAAGCTTCATTTCAACCTGCATCAGCATGATAGAAAAGAAGAAAAAAAAAAAGAAAATATTCACCAGTTAGAGCAGAACCAGTGTCCCACCATCTTCCCCTCCACTGTTATTAATTTTGTACATTTAGAGGCAAACCTGGGCCTAAAGCTTCCATCGCTCAGTTCCTGATGCAGGACTGCAAGGGTCCCACAAGAAAGGCTGGGACAGAGTGTTCAGAGTGTTCAACAGGGCCTGTGGCAACAGCACAAGGGGCGATGGCTTTCAGCTGCAGGAGGCTGATTGAGGTTGGATCTCAGGAAGCTGCTCTTTCCCACTGAGGCTGCTGAGGCACTGGCCCAGGCTGTGGATGCCCCATCCTTGGGAACAGGGCTCTGAGCACCATGGTCTGGGGGAACGTTGCTAAGCATGGAACCAAAGGCTCTCTAGCTCAACTGTCACGTCACAATCCATGTCCCACCTGGAACTGCCAGCAGCCAGCAAGCAGCACAACACAACTGTTGGCCCTGGGGTCAGCACACCCTGCACGCTGCTCCTGCCCGCTCCTGCCACCCTTCTTGTTCCTGCCCCCGGATACCCCCATCATCAGGTTCCATAGCTGCCGAAGGCCTGGATTGTGTCATCCATCCCTGCAGGATGTTCACCTTTGTCCTGAGAAAGGTACGGTGCCATTCCATGGAGGTGGATCCCCCCAGCTGCCCGGGTGGGCTGGAGTTCTGGGGGGATGGGGTGGGACAGGGACCCCACTCTGAGGTTTTGCTACCTCTGCAGGCTGTCGCAGACAGAGAGGAAGAAATGGAGGTGGACACACAGACTGATATGGAGGAGGAGATGGATGTGGATGGAGTACAGACTGGAGAGGAAGAGATGGAAGTGGATGTGGAAGAGGGCACGGATGTGGAAATGGAAGAGTACGCTGAGGACATGGAAATTGATCAAGAAGATGAAGAGGAGGCCATGGTCCTGGGATGAAGACCGATGCCAGCAGCAGGACAGGTACGTGGTCCCCACAGGCAGAGTGGGTTCCCTGCAGCCAGGCTGGGGCTGGGCTGGGTGGTCCCTGCTCCGGCCACACAAGCCCCATCCCAGTGCCTGGGGCCCAGCCCCCAGACCCAGCCAGCCTCAGCTCTGGCAGCAGGGTCCCACTGTGCCAGCCTGGGGACACACGGAAGAGCCCTCTGTGCCTGACTGGAGTGACCATGGCACCTGCTTTTCTTCCAGGACTGATGGAGATCCCGGGCAGAGATGGAACCATTTTGTACATAGTTTTTAGATTTGTTGTTCGCTTTAGGATATAGGTTTTAGTGCTACGTTTGGTCTTCTGTAAATACGTTTCAAATATTGTTGTTAGATATGTTCTTATGTATATACGTTCAATAAATTGTTGTTGTTACAAATATTCTTACAAAAGTCAATGTGTTC